CTCCATAATGTCATCACCAGTTCACCAAGAATGGTCAGGTCACCCCCCACTAGAGGTCACTACCCCACATAACAACCATTCCCTATCTCCCAATGTAATTACAACCCCCCCCACACCCCCACCCAATCACAGGTCCTCACAGCCGAGCGCCCAGCAAGTAGTCTTGGGGGTCATAGTCCCAAGGATGCGGGTTCGATTCCCCCCCCCCCCTTCGAGGAAGAAACTAAATGGGAAATTTCTTTCATCTGATGCCTCTCTTCACCTAGCACAAAATAGGTACCAGAGAGTTAAGACAGCTGCTACGGGCTGCATCCTGGGGGATTTGTGTGCTGAAATGATGTTATTAATATGATAGCATACGAATAGGCAGGGAGTCAGTACATTAGACAATCGGCGGGTAAGTGGCGGGGCCCAGGAGCTAATACAACTCCATCCTGCAGACACATACAGTAAAGAGTAAGAACCAAGAGGGCATGGATGGAACCAAGAGGGCAAGGGTGGAACCAAGAGGGCATGGATGGAACCAAGAGGGCATGGATGGAACCAAGAGGGCATGGATGGAAGCTTGAGACCCACACGAGACAAATTTAGAAAGTTTTCTTTCAGCGTAAAAGTAGTGGGAAAATGGAATGAACTGAAGGAGTTTTAACTTTACAAGTCAATAGAATAGGAAAACAGGTCAGCAATAACTGCATTAGATAACCAGAGACTAGAAACCGGGGTCCAAGAGCTAGTGCTCGATAATACAAACACAAACAGGCGAAGACACCTCCCCCCCACAACACCAATCCCTTAAGACTGGACTGGAATGGACGAGACTGGACAACACTAGACAGCACATACCACACATTACAATATTCTCGCTTGCCACATCAGTATTTGACCTTCACCCCCAGGTCGGATCTCAGAGTGGGTACGAGGTTTGGTAATGTGGCTGGGGTAGAGTGGGTGGGGTAGAGTGGGTGGGGTAGAGTGGGTGGGGTAGGTGGTATAGTGGGAGACGCGACAGTACTGGCTATTGTGGTCCGTTGAGCGTCTTCCAAGAGACAGCTCATCAACTCACATCTTCGTAAAAACCACAACGCAATGCTTTGTGAGAGAGAGAGACTCAAGTTCTGCCACCTTTCTTTACTTCTCTCCAACACGTGTGGCATATATCAGACTCCTCCCGGAGGGGCGAGTCAGATACTGTCAAGATCAACATGGATACAACGCACAATTAACTTGTTCACGCTCGATAAGAAAAAATACAGGTAATTGTTATATAATATTTGCCAAGAACAAATAACACAAACTCGCGTCCATTCCAACGAAAAACGTTTCCATGTACTTTGTGGGGCTCAAGCAAACTTCCGGACGCTAGAGAACTCTAAAACTTCCAGGTTCTAGAGAACACTAACAACACAACCACTCAACAACACCTCACACTGGGAGGAACAACTGTCAAGCTCAAAGAGAAGCGTTAAAAATGGCTCAGGACTTTTGCGGGAAGAATTTCTAAAGAACATTTTCGTATATTTCCGAGATATGCGATGCCTTGTGGGGATTTCACAGAATCTTCAAGCTTTCCCGCCATTTTTGGCAACACTGTAGCGTTGTGGGAACAGGTCCTACCCTTACCCCCCCCCCCCCCCTCGTCGAGGTAACAGAACACACACACACACGGCTGTGAAAGGACCTACCCTTAGGCCTAAATCCCATTACACGGCATAATAATCTTTTGCTGATTTAAGAACTGGTGTCTCCTGGGTGGTCTTTAGGCTTTATGACGTAACACAAACCTCCTAAGGTTTCCCAACGTCAAGAAACTGTCGTATTAAGTGCCTTATCCTACCCTACCAGAGGACCTAAAACAGAAAACGGGACAGTATGTCAATTTCGCGAGCCGCAAACTTTTTTTGACGGGAGTCAAAATGTCTGCGTGACGGGAGACATCTCCCGTCACGCAGGGTGCAGTCGCACCTCCACAGATCTCCAGTATCGGCTCTTGTTACTGGTAATGGCTCAAAAGGGCCACCACTTACAGGCTATTCATGCCCGTGCCACCTTTTGGGTGGGTTATCATCATCAATCAATCAATCAAACATTTTCTAGTACGACAATTTCTGGCCTCAGGTAGAATATACGTCAAAATGCGTCGTTCTATTACGAGGACCAGAAAGGCTTGGGCTGGCTTTCCCGCCATATTTTAAAATGCCTGTTGTTTACCAACTCGCTCGGCGCTTTGGCCTCGATTCGTATCCTGACCGGGGAAGGATTTACTTGGCGCCAATCACCATCCAGGGTCATTGGACTGTAACCCCTGTTCACCCCCAGGGGCCTGATTCACAAAGCAGTTACGCAAGTACTTACGAACGTGCACATCTTTCTCCAATATTTGACGGCTTTGGTTACATTTATTAAACAGTTTACAAGCATGAAAACTTGCCAATCAACTGTTGTTATTGTTATAAACAGTCTCCTGGTGCTTCGGAGCTCATTAACTGTTCAATAACTGTAAACAAAGCCGCCATAGATTGAGAAAGGGTCTACTAGTTCTAAGTGCTTGCGTAACCGCTTCGTGAATCTGGCCCCTGGTGGTTAAACGATTCAGCGGGTCGTATTCTGGGGAAAATTAGGCTTAAGGACTTGCCCGAAACGCTACGCGTGCTGGTGGCTGTACAGGAATGTAAGAACTATTTGTATATATAAATAAAATAAACTAACAATTCAGAGAGATCTGCTCCCGCCGTCTAGCCTGTGGACAGCTTCCACAGGTGTGGTGCGACACCTGTCGCCCCACACCTGTCCTGTGAACAACGACCCGGCTCCTGTTATTCAAGCGACAGAAGCATCGTTCAGCCGCACGGTGTACTGCTTAATACCACCAAGTAACAGCAAGGACACTGATGCTGTACAACAAGTTACCTCGGGGACAGTGTTGCCATCTCCGCTCGACTCCCCACTAGTTCAGTCAGATTGCCAACATGTCCAGATCTCCTAGAACTTGGAGCACTCTTAGTCTGTCTCCTATCCTTTGACCGGGGGCTCTCAAGCCTCGCACTAGGCCGTCAGAGAATGCGTCTTCGAAGCAGAACGGTAATCAGTCGTAGAATGGCTTAGTGCAAGGTGAAATATAAATACAGGATATACTTTACTAAATATAAGCAGAACGATGGTCTCTTGTATTAGACAATACACAACTGCTAAGATCAGGCTTGGGAGCTAGCGCTCGACTCTACAAGTACACACATACACACACTTAAGTGTACTTATTTCATCACCGCAAATTACATTTTATATTTAGCAAGACAATGCATTTGTCATATTCCTCCTCCTCCTAGCAACGAAGATTAACTTACGGTCTCTGAATTCTTGCTTAGGAATGTCTTTTCATCAACTTGATTACTCTCTCTCTCTTTCCAAAAAGTAATTTGCAAATATGCGACGGCACAGTTCCCAGAAGTACCCGGAATATTTGCAAGGGAATGGAGCCATTCTTTTTTTTTAAACATCTCCGCAGACATGTCCAATGAACTTTCGTCGCGGGGTGAAACATTTTAAAATAATAAATTAGGGTTAAAAAATTAAAAGTCGGCAAACATCATAAACATTTAACAACTCTACGACAACTTCTCAACTATTGTCCTGCTGCCTGAGGTACGATAATTGTGAGAGACGACCCTTGACACCGGAGAAATTAATACTTTGAAATAAAAGTACTCCATACATAATATACATATGTATGTTATTATACACATTATGTACATAGTATATATAGCATAATATACTATGCTAGTCATAGGTCCTGTAGCCGCAGTGTTCTACGTCCACGGCCCAGACCCAAGGATCCCGGGTTGGATCCCCGGGCGGGGCAGAGACGGTTGGGCACAGTTCCCTTCACCTATCAGTAAACAGGTAGGTGTGAGTTAGTCAGCTGTTGTGGGGTGCATCCTGCGGGAAGGTCATTAGCACTGTCTAGGCTAAGGAGGGGGGGGGGAGGTGGGTTTAGTAAGCCTAACACACGTGCTGTCTACGGTAAACAATGAGCTGAACCATAAACAGTACACACCACTACGACCTGACATAATATAAACAAAAGAAATGTCAAGATCAACAAATTCTGTCACACTTTTGTGTATAATAAACTTAATTCTTGCAAGGACGTTTTCAGCGTTTTTTTTTTTTGTTTTTTTTCAGAATATGATCCATGATTTTTGTCCGCTCTGAGGTTGGCAAAGTCAGCCTTCCACTAACCGCTGGAGTAGCAGAAAAACGCATCCATGTGAGCAAGATGCCATGGCGTTAGGTTTAAAATATTACTCATGCGCTCTTATGGTGCCAAGTTGTGCCTAATATTTAATACTTCGCCCAGGCGTGGGTATACCCTATACCAGTATACCAGGCGAGCTGGTATACTGGGACTTGGCTCCACCTTTTTACTCCCTCACATATGAAGAGTCAACCGAGTGATGGTGTACGTGACAAATATTGTAGTATCCACGAGGATACATCTATGTGTAGGAGGCGGTGGGAGGGAGGGAGGGAGGGAGGGAGGGAAGGAGAGAGGGAGGGAAGGAGAGAGGGAGGGAAGGAGAGAGGGAGGGGAGGAGAGAGGGAGGGGAGGAGGGAGGGAGGGGAGGAGGGAGGGAGGGGAGGAGGGAGGGAGGGGAGGAGGGAGGGAGGGGAGGAGGGAGGGAGGGGAGGAGGGAGGGAGGGGAGGAGGGAGGGAGGGGAGGAGGGAGGGAGGGGAGGAGGGAGGGAGGGGAGGAGGGAGAGAAGGGAGGAAGGAGAGAAGGGGGCGAAGATGGAGGGAAGGAGGGAGAGAGGGAGCGGGCCTGGCGCCCGGTTGCGTGTAACACAGCTCGGAGTGTAAGCGCTGAGCAACACGTGCGTGCCGACTAGTAAACAATAACTTCAACTGTAATCCTCCCCTACCCATATACCTTAACCTTCAACTCCCCTCTATTTTGTCTTATTCAGCAGCTAGACACAACTTAGTAGCTTTCCTCAAACTAATAACTGCGATGGAGGCAAATAAGAGGACAAAATAGGGAGTTCGGCACCTGGGCGCGCGAGTGAGGGGTCGGGAGGTCAGCCGGGCCTCAATCGGCAGCCGACTGCTGGAGAGGAAGGACGGATTGAAGGGCGGTCCAGCATCCCCTACACCACCATCTCCGCTGCTTCAACAGTCCTTCTTCCCGATATCAAAACGGATTTTGATGTTTTTTTGTATTATTTGTAATTGTGACATTAGTTATTAGGGAAGTGATTGTGGTGACGGGTCATTTTCGCGTAAAAGAAACGATCAGTGGCAAATTTGCGCGCGCCCTTCACACTTAAACCCAACGTTTAAGAATTTGCTGAAAAAGTGATGATAATGCTCGAGTGAAAGCTTGGACCGTATGTGAGTACTGACGAGTATTATTTTCCCCGTGTGGTGACACGACCAACGACACACGGAACTGGACTCCCAAGTCAACGCTACCGTGCTTAGCCCATTCCAGTTTTCCAGCGAGACTTTGTTCATATTTTCGGTATACAAAGTCGTACTTTAAAACGCCAAATACGTGCAGGACCAGCATCGCTATCCTCATGTTCACTCATTTGCTCGAAACGCTTTGCGTGCTGTACAACTAAGTAAGAACTCTTATATATAAATTTATTTGTTATACTGTCGCTATTTGTATACTCTTATCTCCTGCCCTTATAACAACAATAAATGCATTTGTTAACATTTGGTCTAAAACTTTGCTTTCTATCACTATAACAAATTTGTATTATTATCTGGCTCATCGATAATATTTTCGTAATTGAAGTGGAATACAAAATGTTACATCTCTGAGGAATGGCGAGTACACGTGGCGAAGCTGTGACAGGCGCACCATAACTGTACTGGTGGCATGTGTGCACTCTACACACCTGTCGTTCCCTTCCAACCCTGTCACAACGTCCCGTACGCATACCATCCCACACACCTGGCTACAAGCCTATTGTGTTCACGGTACCGACGCGGCTACAAGTATTATGTTCATGGTACCGACGGGGCTACAAGTATTATGTTCACGGTACCGACGGGGCTACAAGTATTATGTTCACGGTACCGACGGGGCTACAAGTAGTGTGTTCACGGTACCGACGGGGCTACAAGTAGTGTGTTCACGGTACCGACGGGGCTACAAGTAGTGTATTCACGGTACCGACGGGGCTACAAGTAGTGTATTCACGGTACCGACGCGGCTACAAGTAGTGTGTTCACGGTACCGACGCGGCTACAAGTATTGTGTTCACAGTACCGACATGGCAACAAGTACAGTACCGTGTTCAAGGTGCAGTAGTACTGGCATACAAGTGCCCTGTTCTAGGTACTGTACTACTTGTAGTCACAAGTACAGTGTTCAAGGTCCTATTGCAGCCATAATTACCACTGACAGCTGCAGGTATATACTGTTTTGTGTTCACGGTATCACTGGTAGGTTATTGGCGAGATGAGGCTCTTCTGAATGCCATTCCTCCAAAATATTAAACAAGTGCTGTAACTTATTCTTGCCTGCGCATTTCAAATATAGCCATTGCAAAAAATTATCGTAAGCTTCTAGACTACAGGGCAGGGTACACTTCACTGAATAGTATTCAGTAGTCGCCTATTTTTTCTACTTTTATTTTTCCCCCAGACAGGATGTAAATTTACAATATTAGCTTCCTACTTTTCAAACTTGCTCTAGTTGCCATTTTGATGATGAAACCACCACTACTAGGGTCCTTCAACACAATGTTACATCAACACAACCTAGAAATATTTACCTTTCAGAAAAGCACTTGTCTGCCTACTTTACTATAAGTGACGACCTCTCAATGTCACAGGGGAGCAAGCACTACCCACATAACCCAACACGGCACTTACATCACACAGCATCAGCCCAATGTGGCCAATTAATTAAACCTTACCCCTAGTCCTCTTGTCCCATTTTATCTTCGTTTTACACCATCTGTAATCCCACTTACCAAACCCTTAATTTGGTAAAATATTTCTCACACACACACACACACAAGCACATACACGAGTGTTTGTAAGTTTCCTACATATATTGCTGGATTCAAAGTAATAAGCACAAAAGCAGCACTAAGGAGAATAGCCACCTCAAACAACATGAAGACTTACCTGCACTGGATACAAGTCACAGTGTACACAAAACAATTGCTCAATGGATTTTGAAACCTAACTCGACCCAACCTAACCTAAGCCAACATAGACCAATACTGTACAGCCTAACCTATGCTAATACATCTAACAATATATACTGTTTTAAACAGAAAATGAGCTTTGTCCAATTTTCTTGTGTACAAAATGACCATATCCCCACGATTCTTGCCTTGTGATACACATGGATAATTATACTGTACCTTAAAATAATCTGAAAAACACATGAACATACCTGTATAGAACATAAACTGCAGACAAAAAAATAGCTGCAAATACTGTACTACAAATCAACAAGCAGAATAATAAAATATAAATATGACCTTAACAAAATAGTCAATGGTGGATTTGCCATGTGCCCTTGCAATATTAATCATTTTGATTTATGTAATGAACATACATATATGGAAAACATATATAAAGCACTACCACATTATTGATTCCATTGAACTACACAGCCTGCACATACTTTATTGATACTACATCTTTTGACACTACACAATTACCAAAATTCCTAAAAATAATGAAATTAAATGTTGTAATTTTTTTGCACACAAAAAAATAAGTCTAGATTAAAAACCACACACTATTTAAATGATTATTGTAGTAAGACGACCAGGGATGGTACGAGTCCAGCAGAGCAAAAGGCATTTATTTTATGTATAAAAGATAACATGATCTGTAACTATGCCTGTACAATTATCAAATAATTAATCGGTTAATAAACAAAACTTTATGTACAGTAGTACAATTTTTTGTTACATGTTTAATATCAAATCAAATTCCCCTCAACTAAAACTTGCTACACCCCTCCCTTTAGGAATTACAGTATTTTTAAATTGCAGGGTCGAGTTTCATCCTTGCAGTTCCTTGCACCCACACTGAAAATTTAAGTTACATTATCTTTCAGTTACTATCCTTATACTGTACTGCGGGAAATGTGGAATTTCACATCAACTCTTTAACATCGGCAGATGGTTACCGAGGCTCAAACTATGCAACCGCGAGAAGGGGCGAGACAACCATGTAGCAGCAAGAGGTGAGACACAACCAGATAGTGGTGAGAGGTGAGAGGCAACTGTGAAGTGGTTTGAAGCGAGAGAACTGTGTAGGAGAGTGATAATTGTGTACCAGTGAGAGATGAGACAGCTGTGTAGCGCCGAGAGGCAATTGTGTAGCGCTGAGAGGCAAATGTGTAGTGGCAAGAGAGAATTGTGTAGCAGTGAGAGGTGAGAGACAACTATGTAGTTACGAGAGTTGAGAGAGAACTGTCTCATGGGTGAATGGTAATTCTTCATTGCTTCTAAAATTCAAGTCTACAAGTAATATTTCTGTATATAAACAAACTGAAATAAGTGTGATTTATTTCAGCCCTCCTGCCAGTGAGATCTTGCATTATTTTCACTTCCCCATCCCCTTCCCTTCTGATATTAATAAATGACAAATTGGAATGTTGCCATTGCATCCAGACTTCTTAGATCAAATTTTGCTTGAGTGGGACATTGCTGTACAGCAAATTTTTACAGTACATGCACTATACTTGTGTATAGTGTGTATGTGCATGCTGTACATGTATACATATTATCTATACAGTATGTATATTCTATGTATAATTTGTCTTGACCAGTAATATAATTTTCATGTAAATTTTAAACAAATTCATTCCGACTTCCATTTTATACAAAATTTTATGCAGATACAGGTACGAGTTTGTGTACTGGCAATGTCAAATTCTCAACGTCAGTATGTGGGATATGTTGAGGGTGCATATATCAATTGTGTTGTAATGAGCAAGTGAGAGTCAATTTAAGGCTCATTAAAGGAACAGAAATTTAAAACGTGCATCAGTAGTAGGGTGTAGTCGTGAGGAAACACACTGGACTGCACTGAATACTTTTGGAGAGCATCGTTTGGAAGACTGAAGAGCTAAAAAAGGTGGGATATGAGAAACTGTAGGTGGTGCAGGATGTTATATGTACATTTGCAGCTAAAAAAATTGTGATGGTATAAATATTGGAGTGACAATTGAAATGTTCTAGCCTCGGAGTATGAAAAGAGCAGTACTTGAGGTTATCTTGAGGTTATCTTGAGTTGATTTCGGGGCTTTAGTGTCCCCACGGCCCGGTCCTTGACCAGGCCTCCACCCCCAGGAAGCAGCCCGTGACAGCTGACTAACACCCAGGTACCTATTTACTGCTAGGTAACAGGGGCATTCAGGGTGAAAGAAACTTTGCCCATTTGTTTCTGCCTCGTGCGGGAATCGAACCCGCGCCACAGAATTACGAGTCCTGCGCGCTATCCACCAGGCTACGAGGCCCCCCTTACAGTACAGTATACAGTATCTAGATGTTTAAATATTTTGAAATTACAATTTGAACGAATAGAAACCCCTCAAAGAAAGCAAGTCATTCAATAATATGCATGGGAAGTTAGGATATCTGGCTACAGTGTATTATATCTCACAAAATCTGCTTTAAAGCTTTTAATTTAACCCCCATTCACCTTTAACTATGAAGTTTTATTTACAAATGCCAAAATATTTAAGGCTCATTAAAGAATTATTTCTGTTCTAAAGGGCATCTAGACGTAACTAACTACGGTATTGCTGATTATGTACTGTATTTCCCAAAATGGGAAATACTGTACACTGTACTGTACTTTAAGTTAATACTTTAACTATGGGATTAAGTTGGATTGGGTGGTTATAAATAGGAGTTGCCTCGTATGGGCCAATATGCCTTCTGCAGTTAATTGACCAGACTACACACTAGAAGGTGAAGGGACGACCACGTTTCGGTCCGTCCTGGACCATTTTCAAGTCGATTATGAATGGTCCAGGACGGACCGAAACGTCGTCGTCCCTTCACCTTCTAGTGTGTGGTCTGGTCAACATACTTTAGCCATGTTATTGTGACTCATCGCCTGCTTCTGAAGTTACCCTTATTCTTATGTTCTTATGTTCTATCTAGCTGGCTCTTTGCTCATTTACCATTTAATAATTAAATTATGACTTAATACGATAATGCATTTCTTATCTGTAATTATTTTATTCAAAATTGTTACTAATGTACTATTCAGTAACAGTTCTATGTATTACTGAATAGAACTATGTTATGTTATGTAACATAACATATACTGAATAAATGTTATGTACAATGGTAATGTATATAACATTACCATTTTGACATTATGGAATATGAATCCCGAGTTCTACATTTATTATGTTCCAACCTGTCATGAGATCTAATGTATTTTTAAAGTTTAATAAAGATTTTTACTGGATAATTATTTCAAGTAGATTTATCTAATGCTAGCTGTATTTTTTCTTCCCGTACCGTGTTTCACTTTTACCAACAACAATGAGTTTAAATGAACAAATCCACAAGGGCCGTGACGAGGCTTCAAACCTGCGTTCAAGAGCATCCAAAGTGTATTACATCCCAAGAAAAGTGTTACACATTAAAACAGTGTAATGTGAGTTTCCCGACTGCTTCATCATTCTAACATTCCCCACCCCAAGCCTGGAATTTATGGCTTAGAAGAGCTCCTAGTGTGGTCCCCATGTTCCTTCGAAACCTGTGGTCTTTAGAATCAGTTTTTTATTGTGAAAAATGAAGGTAAGCATATCATGGGAGAGTGCTATCGACGCTTTCAATTTAGCTACTGCTGCAAATCAAAATAAAATCATTGCTAACAAGCAGAGCCCACGAGCTGGAATCCCATATGGTCAATGATCTTCCTTGGGTCAAATTGGGAAGCCATGCAAAGTTTACTTTAATTCCATTCAACAGTGTCTGAATTCACAGTGGTCTGAAAGACAGACTGTGGGATCTACATTTATATACTGTAGTGTACTGTATTGTAGAGCAGTGGTTCCCAACCAGTGGGTCATGACACCCTTGGGGAAGGTGTCTTGAATATTAGAAAATAGGCCTGTGGACAAAAAGATTGGGAACGACTACTGTAGAGTACAAGTGTTTCGAGCCTTTTTGAAAGGTTGAAAATTGTGATAAAATGTGTTACTTAACATCGATAAACTAACTTTAAAGGCAAGATTTTCTGTTTTAAAGCCCAATCAATTTTAGGAACCTTAAAATATATTGGGCTTCATTTCAATATAATGTCGAGAGTTGCTAAGGATCTTATCACGTTACCAAGATGTTCAGTGCAAGTGCTAGCAGCAGGTTTTCCATTGTGGTCTTCAACTAAATCTGCTCTTTTCAACAGCAGTTTAAAGTTTAAAATGCACTCATACAATGTTAATTTTGTTATAACCAAGTAATGAAAATTTGAATATTACCAACAAACATTTGGAAGTGACATGAAGTACTGTAGAATGAAAAAATGAATACTTAAAGAGTATTTCAGCTGTGATAGTTACATTTAACATATCTGTCATTTTTACAAACTTAGTCAAAGATCATCAGCATCATATGATTGTGTGGTAACCAGGTGAAAACCTGTTTAAATAAATAAGCAACAGTTGTAGGTGAACTTATCATTCTGAAGAACACGGTAAATTCGGTACTGTACTTATATTTTGTAATTAAATTTAATGCATAATAAAGCCACTAATGCAATTCCACACCTTATAAAATTATTAAAGATGTAAAGTGTTGTAAATAATTGGGCAATATTCCAAAATAATAAATAATTTCATGCAGCAGCAAGTAATTTATCATCCACTTGAAGCCCTTCCTCATTCACACATACACTTTCACAGCCTATCCACCACCATGATGTTGCTTTTGTCCACACACTCATTTTTAGCAGTTTTCTCTCGTGCAAAAATATGACTAATAACTAATCTATGTAAATTGTTATCACTCAATGTTAAGATAACTGCGCCATCTGTTGCAGCAAATACAGGACTATAATTACACTCAAGTCTCATATTTTTCTTTAATTATCTTATCTTGAGCTCCTTTATGACTCCACCCATAAACAGTACAGTACACACAACAACCAACCATGAAGGCATCACAGAACCGTGGCTTACACCATCATTATCAAACTACTTAATCGTTACACTTACAACCAATACATAGTCTCTACAGCTTTCATAAAGGCCCCTTGGAGAATTCAACAGAACTATAAACTTAACATGCTCATAACTCTCCAAGAATCCATCTATTAAGTATCATATGCTTTCTCCAACTTCCTAAAGGCCCTGTAACACCTTGCATGCCTTCTCCACCAAGCTGTTTCACTTCAGAGATCTCATCCACACAACCTCTTCCACCATGGAAATAACTTTTTCTCCATTGACAAAATTTCTAAATTATTTCCTTCGCTCTTCCTATCATGTCAAACACTTTAATTTACCCATTTCACTTTGTGGACTAATATTTTTCTTCAAGAGTGCAATCAAAACTTTTTCTAGTAATCTGGTGTGTACTACACGTCTTTTGGTATTTCCTACACGTACGGAACAGTGTCCTTTTGTTGGTTTTCAAAGTCCAAAATTTAGTAATGATAATTCAATGTGTCAGGGGACAGGAAGCCGGTGTATATACCCATGTTAGGCTTATATCGAGGTACCCCCCCCCCTCCAGGTCAAACTAGTGACCCTCCCCAGGATGCAATCCCACAACAAACTGATTCCTGGGTACCTATTTACTGCTAGATGAACAAGGCATTAGGTGATGGGAAACACCCAACCATTTTTGTCCCATGTGGGATTTAAACCCAGAATTCCCAATTATGGATCAAGAAGGAACCCTACTGCATTACTGGACATGCTTCAAAACCACCACCTATTCAAGTTCATCATTTCCACACATCTTAATACAAAGATGACAGCCACACTAATTATATATTACACAGAATTGTAAATGTTGACCATTCCATCATATTAATTTCCACAAGAAATCCAAGATAAGGAGTTCCTCAACATGGCTCCAGCAAGGTAAGGAATGCATTGGTGGATATCCAGAGATGTAAGTATATGGAGTTCTCCGACATATTCAGCGAGATGAGGATAAGGGGCTTCTTGGCATATCTCTACTTAGATAAGGATTACCCAGATTAACGATTGACAATTTCAAAAGATTTTACTCCTGCAGCCTTCCTTGGCAATTTGCCTACTCTGAGAGGCTGTTTGTCTTTGTAGTCCTATGGCTCTCACAGTCATCACAGCCAGGCTGATCTGGTAACTCCAACAGAAACCTATCTAGTTCTCTTGAAAGCTTGCACCGATGTTCCCCCGACATTTCTTATAATTGTTGGCAGAAGATTGAGGAGTTGTGGGCCTTTGATGTTTACAGGGTGTTTTCGAATCTTGTTTATAAGACCTCGACTTTTCACTGCATTTATTTTGCACTTCCCATCAAATTTCTCACTACAATCTGTTTTAATTTTACTGTGTTGGTTTGGAACCTAACCTTCCAGTACCTTCCAGGCATATATTACAATACACAGTATCTCTCTTGCCTTCATTCCAAGAAGTACAAGTTGAGTTCTTTTGCAAGTGTCCCAGTAACTTGTAGTGCTTTACTGGTTCTATATGTGCAACAAAGGATCTCTGCACACTTTCATGCTCTGCAATCTTACCCGCCTTGAAGGGAGACATGAGGACTGAACAACGCTCCATTCGAGATACCTGGAGTGGGTTGTGAGAGGACTTTCACTCCCCATGCCTAGCCTGGAGACAGGTTTTTTCTTGTGATAACTTGGTCCAAAAGGTTGTTGCTTAGAGCAGCCACCAGGCCAAC